GTCATATTTCTCGAAAATGAAGTTTGATGTTTGAATGAGTCCTCACATGTAACCCAAACGACCATCTTCGTGAAAAGGAGCGTCCAAGCACTCACTCCTTTGGCAAATGCCTTCAAGAATAATCTTATTTTAAAGTTTTCAACAGACAGGTAATTCAGAATCTGTCTTCATGGACGATCGGGTGAAAACACTGGAAATCATGAAGTATGCAGCAATATTTCGAGGCCGATCTGAAACTCAACGTAATCCAAGACGAAGAAAAAGTATAAATTAATTTAACGGAAGACAAGTTCTATCTATAAACACCAGCAGGTATGTTTACGCTCACGCCTGTCAGTTGTATTTAAATTTATTAGGCACCGATCGGTCTCATGGCATGTCACCTTATGAAATCTTTTGTGCCTACGACGTCCCCATCGGCGAAATCAAGCAAATTCCGGCTTCTCTTGTTGAACCTCATCTCATTTTCTCCAAACGAATCAAGGAATACATGAAACCCTGGAAAAGTGTTTTGGGATCTACGCCCAGAATGTAGGCAGTTGACAAACCGTCATATATGAAGTCACACTATTTATTAAACGATATTTAGATGTAAACTTCATTAAAGCACTGTTATTAAACGTGATTTTATGTCTACTTTCATATTTACCACGCTTTTGGTATGATAATACATTCTATACATTTAAAACCGAACTTTACTTAAGTAGAACCATTCCTGACCTTTTCGGGATATTGCATTTTTCAAAATAAATCGACATTTCTAAACAACGCAACACTGCCTATAGTATTTATTTTATGTTTCAAATGCTTTTAAACTTGTACTTAATTAACATAGGCATTGGACTCATGAAATGGTGTCGGTTTGTGAGTAATTGGCAAGCATTCGTAAATTTCGACACATTTCATGAGTTAGGTCACTAACTGTAGATAGCTTATACATTTCGATCTCTTAACACGTTAGATAGAGTGCACCTTAACAGACTACGAGAGAGCATGTAGATGGTTTCTTTATTTTAGTCTCTTTGCACGTTAGGTATCGTGCCAGAGATGGTAATACGGAACGCCAAAATGTCGATGTACTACAACTGCATCGGCTGAAAGGACTTTGCAGCAATTAGTTCGGGGTGTGGGATGGTCAATATCATCTAGAATTCGATCAACAGTTACTTAACCGCTGTGACATTTTGTTATGTTGTGATATCGTTTAAAAAAGGCGTGCAGAAAAATAAGGGCACTTCTCCCTTTTCTCCCTCCTTCCCTCTCACTCTTCGCTTCCGTGGTGGCATAAAACGTGTGAAAAATTACCGATACTTGTGAGTTGTGAAACTTACTTTAGTGCATTGCAAATGACCCACTCCGTTTCCCGCATGCCTTTTCGTCTCTAAAACACAACCACTGGGTCATAAAAGCATAAAATTGCATGTCCTGTGTTTCAGTCCTATTCACCTCTGACAGGACGTGTTTTGCCAAATAAGGGAACCTCGTCGCCGGTTTCGAGTCCATTCACGGGGAGAGTCAATTGCCCTCAACCTTCTATAACTTGCCTGGATTGTTGTTGGGCTAAGGTTAGGTCTATGATTAAAGGAAAGGTTCGGTTTACAGCTATGACAAGGAGTAGAGTTGTATTTGGTGTCAGGGTTGGGTTTAGTATTACCACTAGGGCTGGCGTACATTGTCTCTTTGCTTCTTTGAAGCCGTTTTTTTCATGACTTTGCTCGTCTTTGGACATTTGAGCGGACAATCTCCGGGTGGGGGTGCCAACAAGCACCGCGAACCCATTTCCGAAGCCTACCTGGGTGTTACAAGAGCATATACTTGGAGAAAATTATCCTGCTTTACTACAATTAGGTTTTCTGCAAGTGAATAGGCCAGATAATCGCCGTCCGGGGGAGACGGCGATGATGAGGGCGTAGGAGGGGGGGGGGAGAGACAGAGGAAACATAAAAATGCTAATCCAAACAGTACAGTTAACAATGGAGACAATAGGCCACAGAGGTCTTCTGACGCTGTGCCCCATAACGATGACTTTCCCTTCTATATTATTCTGGTGGTGCCCGAGTGGAGACCGCTGAGCCACAATTTGAGGTTGCGTCTACTTCCAACTGGCTTTGTAGTGGGTTGAAATTCTA